GTTGGTACTATTCATGAAGGTAGAGACTATAGGGTGAAGAGGAGAGTTAGGAGTGAAGATGGTATGTTCAGCTATTAGCTGTTGAGACAGATGTCCAGCAGAAAGTTTGGCATGTGAGGTAAATACTCCTGGGAGATACAGAAGTGGCTGTCACCAATACTTATGTGAACCTGAAACTATGAGAGTAGATGGAGTCATTCAGTGAGTACGTACAACACAAGAGGAAGTAAGACATTTAATGAGGGCGGGGAGAAAAAAGCACACAAAGGAGGCAGGGAGGGAACAGCCAAAGAGTTATGTGGAGAACCAGGAAAGCACACTGCCATGGAAATCATGGAAGTACGGAGCTTCAGCACTATCTAATTTAGCAGAAAGGTCCTAGAAGAAAAGAGCCAAAAAAAAAGTCCCTTGGTGATGGTAATTACGAAGTTACTAATGAATGGGGAAGTTATCAAATATCATTAACATAACATGCAAGTAAAATTTTGCTGAAGATAATTAAAAAATGGGTGCAGCACTATATTGACTGGGAACTCCCAGAAATGCAAGCTGGATTCAGAAGAGGGCATGGAATGAGGGGTATCACTGCTATTGTTAGATGGATCTTGGCTGAAAGCAAAGAATATCAGAAAGGTGTTTACCTGTGTTTTACTGACTATGCAAAGGCATTCCACTGTGTGGATCCTAAAAAAATTATGGATAATATTGCAAAGAATGGGAATTCCAGAACACTTCATTGTGCTCATGAGGAACCTGTATATAGACAAAGAGGCTATCATTCAAACAGAACAAGGGGTAACTGCATGGTTTAAAATCAGGAAGAGTGCCTCAGGATTGTATCTTTTCACTATACTTATTCAATCTGTATGCTGAGCAAATAATCCAAGAAGCTGGATTATGTGAAGAAGAACACAGCATCAGGATTGGAGGAAGACTCATTAAGAACCTACATTATGCTGACAACACAACTTTGCTTGCTGAAAATGAGGAGGACTTGAAACACTGAGGAAGACTTAAGATTCATTAACAGCCTGTGATATGAAGATGACACAACTTTGCTTGCTGAAAGTGAAGATGATTTGAAGCACTTACTGACAAAGATTAAAGACTACAGTCTGCAGTATGGATTACACAACATAAAAAAACAAAACAAAACAAACAAACAAACAAAACCCTCACAAACCAGACTAACAAGCAACATCATGATAAATGGAGAAAAGAATGATGTTGTCAAAGATTTCATTTTACTTGGAGCCACAAATAAACACCCATGGAAGCAGCAGTCAAGAAATCAGACATCACATTGCACTGAGCAAATGTGCTTCAAAAGACCTCATTAAAGTGTTGTTCTGGTTACCTAGTGCCGCTCTGACAAGAATATACCACAAATGGGATGGCCTTAACAAACAGGAGTTTATTCTTACAATTTGGAGGCTTTAAGTCCAAGTTCAAA